AGTTTGAGTAAATAATGTCTATGGTATCTCCAACCTTGTTTCCTTACTTTTTTGTTTTACGATTACTATTTGCAGGATTTTATACTCTTAATTTTTTTATTTATCTTGTTTGCTGGCTTTTTTTTATGTTCAACTATGGGCAAATGATTACTTGATATGGTAGTTTACTTCATACATTGTAATGATAATAAACAAAGTTAGTAGCTAGCTCATACAATTCATGATGATTTACTGTAGCTATTGACTATTTGATCCCATTAATTCAAGATGTAAAATGTTAAGCTGCAGCTAAAGATTGTCATAGAGATTTGTTTTAGAATATAATGAGCATTTATAGTTTCTGTGTAACTAAATTCTCTATATATAATGCATAGCAATGAGCAAGTATAGGCGTAGACTAAGACACAACCCCCATTAAGCTCATATTAAATTTTATCAGTAGAAAAAAAGCCTTTTCAAATAAAACACATACATCTAAAACACTGCTTTAAATAAACCTTTGGGTCTTTTAAGGTAATTATTCTATGAATGTGTGTAATGAAATTTAATATTACATGTATTGATTTTTTTTTACTCCATCACTTCATACATAATACAGGAGTTGGCTCCCTAAAGACACCAGTTGTATAGTGTACAAAGAATTGATTATCTACATGTTACAGTCATTTAATGTTCTTCTATTATTGGGTGGTAATTCCTGTTTGACCCTGTACTTAAGCATTTCAAAGGAACACCAGATATTAGTATAAAAGCTAACCTTCAAGGTGTAATGATAACATTGTTTACACTAGAATTATGATGTATTTTAGCTTAGTAAAATATATAAGAAACAAATCAACTTTTCAATACCCCTACGACCTTCACAGTACCTTATATAGTATCCTACGAAAGGTTTGGATGCAACATACCAAGCCGTTTTTGTTGTAGGCTGGCAAGAAAATAATAAAACGAATTACAAACAGACCATTTTGAGGGAACATACTTTTCCTTGCAAGTCTAACATGTGCACTTTTTGTGTGAATTTTTTAATTTGTACAGTCTTATCAATCAATAGTAAAGGTTTTAAAGTGTTGTTTGAATCTTTACTGTTTATGGTGCTTTTTGTCCAAATGTTTTATTAGGGATTTGTGCAATTCTTTTTTC